AGGGGGGGCATGTGTGTGCTGGCTTGCCCACAAGTACAAAGAAATAAGAGACAGGATAAAAGGGAGACGAAGAGAGATAAAGAAAGAGTAACAGAAAGAGGCCCAGGGATGCAGACAGAGACTATACACTTAGAGAGACATACAGAGAGAGACAGAGACAAGGAAAGAGAACAGAGAGGAAAGCAGAAATAGCAAGAGATTAAGAAACCAAGAGACTGGAGACAGAGGAGCACAAAGACGCTAGGCAAGAGGGAGAGACAGAAAAGAGGTCAAGGAAAAAGGGAGGCAGAAACAGAGAGGAGAAGAAACAGAGACTGAGACTAAGGAGGAGTCACATTTATTCATTAATTCCACATTTCCTGAGCACCCAGCATGGCAGGTGCAGTGTGAGGCACAGATCCGTGTAAGCAGACACAAATGGTAGGGACGAAGATGCAGCAATAAAGACAGAAACCGAGGCAGAGACAGAAAGAGAGGGAGAGAGATAGAAAGGGCAGAGGGATAAGAAAGAGTGGCAGAGACAAGAGGCCTGTAGGTAGAGAGGCAGAACCAGCTGCGGGACCTAGGGCAGCCTGGAGCCAGGGCAGGACCAGGAAGCCCCGCCCCTTGAGCTACCCCCTCAGTCCCACCTCCAGCTGTGCAGTCTCCACCTTCCCCCACAGTTGCCTGGCCTCCCTCACCTGTTGGCTCTGGAGGAGGCTCCGACTGCTGACATGGCCTCCCCTCCTCCTCCTGCCCCCCCCCAGTCTTTGCCTGAACCCCAGCCCAACCTGGAGCAGGGGGACATAGGAATTAGATGGGTATAGAATACTTCCTTTCCACCCAGAGACCACTTAAAGACCAGGAGATAGGAGAAGGTTACCTGGGGAGAAGGGAGGGGCTGAGTGTGTGGAATGAGTTTTCAGAAGAGCCAGAGTAGAAGCCTCTTCTTTCTGGGGTCTGTGTACCAGCCCCCAGTACACTAAAACCTCCCTGAAATCCGGAACTTAGGGAAGGAGCCCCTTGTAGCACATGCTGAGCCCTCCCCCACCTCCTCCCCCGTCATCACTGAGAACATGCCGCCGCAGAGAAGAGGGTGGGCTGGAGAGGAAGTCACCTACCCGCTGGTGCCGGGTCTCTGGGTCTGAGAGAATCGCCAGTCCGTGTTGGGCGGGGCTTGCTGTGGAGAAAACAGAGGGAAAGGGGCTGAGGACCCATAAGCAGTCAGAATGTCACCCGAGCCCCGGGGCTGGGCAGGGAGGGAAAGAGGGAGATGGACACAGAGAAGAAAAGAGGATAAGAGGAGGGAGGGGCAGACTCATCTCCAAAGACAAAACGTACCCCAGGTCTCAGAGGTCTGAGGTACCAGAGGCAAAGAGATAAAATAACATTGATCTGACCACAGTGAGCAAACCCTGACTCCTTTGCTAAAGAAAGAGCCCATTCCTCCCTGCCTGACTCAGAACTGCTGAGCTGAGATTCAAGGGCAGAAAGTATCTTCTGTGGAACCCAAGGGTGCAAAGAAGCCCCCCCCACCCCCCCAGGAGATTTTCATGAGAATTCCACCAGCCCTAGAAGGAATTTATTCAGCTCCTCAGCTGGGAACAAAGCATCCTTGCAGCAAGATGGCCGCTGTTCTGGGTAACCCTTTTTGCGCCAGGTTGTGCTGTAACATATTCAGAAGGAGCCCTCCTCCAGGCCCTTGGCTCTTGACGACCCCTTCCCACAGCTAAACACATTATTAATTTAGGAGTCATGCCAGACTGATTCTTTGCAGGGCATCCAAGCCCCAGGACACCTCTCACCCCCAGAACTCTGCCAGACAATGGCTGTGACTGAGGAAGAGAGAACAAGGCCGCTCTGTCTGGGATAGAGAAAACTGCCGGGATGGAGCCCAGCAGAGATCAAGCTCCCACAGCCTCCAAGCAGAGCCAGCTAAGTCTCCAGGGCTCCTAAGGGGCTGATCTGTAGTCATGTCCCACCTGGATGACGGTGTGGGACTTTAGCCAGACGCTTCCCTCCCGAGACCAGAGGGTGTATTATCCCATCACACACACACACACACACACACACACACACACACACAGCACTCCAAGAGCCATCTCCTTAACCTTTCTGAGGTGTGCTGGTAATTAACTCTCACACTTACTCCCAGAAGCAGAGGAGAAATGTATCTCTGATTACACTGGGGAGAAGAAAGACCAGAGGCTGCCAAATGACTCACTCTGAGGCTCACAGGTGGCAGTGATATGAGCAGAACCCAGAAATTTAGCATCCCAGGTACACCATGAGTCACCAGCACCAGTCCAGGACTGCCGTGGGGAACGGCACTGGGATGCCTACTCCTCAGCCTTAGACACAGGAGAATCTACATAGAGATGCAAGAACCATGACAGACTGGAAGAGAGTTGCTGGGCAAAACTCACAACCTATGTAAGGACGGCGGGTCCAAAGCGTGTTCAGTAAGGGCTGCTCAGGGATAAGGAGCCCCAGAAGACTTTTCTCTAACATAAAGCCCTAAAAGGGAAAGAATCCCATCTATGCCCCATCCCAGCAGATGAAGACTGCCCTCCTTCCTCCAGCTTTACAAGTGCAAGCGACTCAAAGTACAAATTCTGGAGTTAGACCTGAGTTAGAGCTTTCTCTACCACTTACCCTCTGAACTTGAGCAAGTCATGTGACCTTGGTGAAATTCAGTGAGGAAGCTGGTATCTATCCAACAAAAATCTTGGGAAGAACGAGTGAGGTGCGGTACTCGGAGGAGGTATCGCAGAAAGGCTCTCTTAATCAGCTATCACATAGGGTTGTTGTTTCAAACTCTAATTCTGATTCGGTAGGGGCAGGGAGGAACGTAACTATAGTTTAAATAAAAGCTCCTGAGATTGTGGAAACTTGTGCCTTTTACTACTATAGTTGCCCCACATATGAGGGCCCCCTGGCATCTGGCAGAGGCTGTGGCTTTCCATCAGGCTGAGAAGGAAGGACTTGACGGAATCTCAGATACTTTGGCAACCCCCAAAGCCCTGACCCTAGATCACAGGAACACATCAAGGTTACGACGGAGCCAAAAGCCTATCTCTGAGTGTCCAGGGTCCAGGTGCTCCACGTTCCCACTTCCTGTGATAGGACAGGCAGTGATTGTCACTGAAGTCCCAGGCTGCCTATCCTACCCTTGGGCCCCAGGGTAGCTCAGCCAGCCCCCAAGGCTTCTGGGCCGGAGGCAACGCTGACCTCTGCTCGGAGTCCCAGCAGGATGGAGCAGCCCACCCTGGCCCTAGAGTTCCCAGACTCATATTCTTGCACAGAGGTGACCTGGTCTAGCCCCAGGTAGAAGCAGGAAAAGGCTCCTGAGTCCTTGCAGGCCCTGGGAAACCACGCCATGGGATCCTCACCAGGGTGTGATCAGTCAGCTGTGAGTACCTCCGAGGCCAGCAGCCAGGTGGTTGGGAAGCTGTGAGGGGCCTGGGGACAGCCAGTGCATGTAAACTTGACAGCAAGCACTGGCAGTTAAAGGCGGCGTGCAAGTACGACCACGTGCTGGGTGTGTGTGTGTGTGTGTGTGTGTGTGTGTGTGGTGAGGCAAGCCCATTGGTGCATGTGACCAGTGGGTGTGTTCTGCAGGGAGGACATGCTTGAAGCCTGGGTGTGACCTATACTGCCTACAGATGCATTGTTTGACGGGGAGGGTGGGGGGCAATAGGGATGGTGGACATTAACAGTGAAGTCACCCATCAAGGGAGTAGAAAGAGGAAACGTAAAGGCTGGCAGAGCAAGCTGGCTCGGGGGTCAAGCAGGCTGGGTGCAGGAGTAGATTTGCGACTGACTCCACCCAGGACCACGCCCCCACTCAACCCCGGCCATAAAAGATTACTGGATGCCAGCTGGCAGGGATTGGTTCTACTTCCACTCACCTACAATCACCACCACCTCCCGGTACTCAGAGTCCTATCCCCACTTTGGTGTTCCACGCAATCAGTCCAAATGGTCCCCCAAATCAGGTGGAGTGCAGGCAACACTGAGCTCCACGCCCCCCTCCGCCCCCACGACCCTCAGCCCCACCCCGAGAGAAGCGGATGCAAAAAGTCCCTTTTGGGGATGGGCTGCTTCTCCATCGCAGCCCACAGGTGTCACCCTGTGGACACCTCACCTGGCTCCGCTCCCGCAGCGTATTGGAGCGGGACCGGTAGGCATCAGGCTCCAGCGCCAGAGCTGAGGGCTGCTGGACACTGAGGGGCCTGAGAAAAGTGAAGTCACTGCCATCCGAGGCTGGTGAGAAGCACGTCCTGTAGCAGTGGCTCTGCGGGTCCGAGGGCCGCAGCGTCACCTCCATGTACTTGAGCGTGCCGTCTGAGCTCAGCTGCAGGTTGGGACTAGACTGCTTATAGAAGTCCCGAGAGGGGGAGTCCTGGGGCCTGCAGCATTGGCTCCCACCCGCATCCGCAGCTGTGTGCCCCCGAAGGCACTTAGCTGACAGAAAGGTGAAGGTGACTAAGGATAAGAGACTGATGGCTGCAAGAGCCACAATCAGGTAAAGAGTAAGGTCTGAACGCTCAGGGGGGTGTGAGAGGAAATCGCTGGACTTGGGCATTTCCTCGGGATCCTCGTCCTCCAGAACCAGCAGCACCGTGGCTGTAGAGGAGAGGGAAGGGTCACCGTTGTCCCTCACCAGGACCACAACCTGCTGGGTGTCAGAGTCATCCTCCCGTAAGGCCCGGGCCGTGCGCACCTCGCCAGTATGTGCAGACACCAGGAACAGTCCTGGAGCCGTAGACTGTGGCAACAGTGAATAGGAGAGCCACGCATTGTGGCCTGCATCGGCATCCACAGCTGTCACTTTGGTGACCAAGGAGCCGGGAGGAGCAGAGCGAGGGAGACGCTGGGGGACTGAGAGTTCCCAGCCAGGTCTTGGGTGCAACACAGTGGGCGCATTATCATTCTGGTCCAGGACAAACACATGCAGAGAGGTGTTAGAATGCAGTGGGGGAGAGCCAGAGTCTCGAACCCCCACCATGATCTGCAGCATTTGCAGCAATTCGTAGTCAAAGGTGCGTTGGGCAAAGACTCGCCCGTCCTCAGGGTTGACGTATACAAAGGAGGAAGCTGGGGCTCCCTGAATCTGATTCCCCACAATGGAGTAGGTGAGGTGAGCATTATCCCCGGCATCTGGATCCGAGGCAGCCACAATGCAGAGAAGGGAACCTGGAGGCCGGTTTTCTGGGATGTAAGCAGTATAGAGCTGCTGACTAAAGTAGGGTGCGTTGTCATTAACATCCGAAATGTTGAGCCTGATGGTGAGATGTGTGTGCAGGGGAGGTGAGCCCGCATCACTGGCCAACAGTTCAATGATATAGTGGGAGGTGGTCTCCCGGTCCAAAGGCTGGCTGGTTAGCAGAGAGTAGTGGTTCTCAGAAGGCTTAATCTGAAATGGCAGGTCCGGGGAGATCTCAAGGCTCACTTCACCATTTCTCCCCGAGTCTCGGTCCCGCACATTAAACAAGCCCACTACTGTGCCCACCGGTGTGCTCTCCAGGATAGGGTTGACCAAAGAGGCCAGTAGTACCTCTGGGGCATTGTCATTGGCATCTCCCACATCCACCTGAATCATACAGTGGCCTTCCATGGCTGGCTGTCCCTGGTCACGGGCTCTCGCATGAATTTCATAGAAACTTGACTCCTCAAAGTCTATGGGACCCAACACGTGGATTGCTCCACTGCTAGGGTCTAGGCCAAAGAGGTTACGCACTACCTCAGATGTATGGTCTCCGAAAGAATAGTCTAGCTGGCCATTGGTGCCCTCGTCTGGATCAGTGGCATTGAGGCGGAGTAGCAGTGTACCCACGGGTGTGTTCTCTGGGAGCCCCACACGAAGAACTGAGGACTGGAAGGTGGGGGCGTTATCATTGACATCCAGCACTATGATGGAGATGAGGGTAGTCCCTGAGCGGGCTGGGATGCCCCCGTCCACGGCAGTGAGCACCAGCTGATGTCTTGCCTGGGCTTCACGGTCCAGCTGCCGATCTAGCACCAGCTCTGGGAACAGCTTCCCATCTTTTAGGGTCTTCACATTCAGAGAGAAGCGGCTGCTGGGGCTTAGAGTGTAGAAGCTCACGGTATTGGTGCCCACATCCGGATCCTGGGCACTATCCAGAGGGAATCGTGCCCCAAGTGCAGCCGATTCTG